TCATAGTTATTAGTTTTCTGTCATTACAATATCACAAAATCATCTATTAATAATAAGAATAAACAGTTCTTCTGCCTAACAATTCTTTCTTCTACCGAACGAACAACGCAGCTTAGATTAACGTTTATTGGCTATTTTGCGATTTCGAACGCAGCTCATCCAATCAGAATATAGAGTGTGTGTGTGTGTGTGTGTGTGTGAGTGCGTGTATATAGTTCAGATGCAAAAGCCTCGGGTGTCGTAATTGTATTTTAATGGCAATGAATAGGTTCTTTTGAAATAACTGAACATAAACGTATATATATAAGACCAAACGTTAACACAGAAAACCCCTCAATAATATAGCTTATAGAGGCGACATATAGGGTGTAACCACTTGTTTTCTGTTTCAATAAAAAAATCTAAATTATTTATTACTTAAGTGCTCAATGTTGCTGAAACATCCAAATTAGATGTTTTCATGAATATGAATGAACGAAGAGAAATGATTTTGCGATTTCGAACGCAGCTCATCCAATCAGAATATAGAGTGTGTGTGTGTGTGTGTGTGTGTGTGAGTGCGTGTATATAGTTCAGATGCAAAAGCCTCGGGTGTCGTAATTGTATTTTAATGGCAATGAATAGGTTCTTTTGAAATAACTGAACATAAACGTATATATATAAGACCAAACGTTAACACAGAAAACCCCTCAATAATATAGCTTATAGAGGCGACATATAGGGTGTAACCACTTGTTTTCTGTTTCAATAAAAAAATCTAAATTATTTATTACTTAAGTGCTCAATGTTGCTGAAACATCCAAATTAGATGTTTTCATGAATATGAATGAACGAAGAGAAATGCTCTTCAAATACTAGGCTAATACAGCTGCCTGTACTTACAGACACGGGCAGATGGTGAACAGCGGCGCCCTGAAAAAAGCGCAATTGTTCTTTCAATGGGGCTCATTGTCTTTTATCCCCGTTGTGAGGCGACAGTGAGGGGTGAAACAAAAGACCTTGAACCCGAAGCACCTGCTCATGGACACAAGATTAAACCCAGGGTTGATTGTATTGGGATCCCAGGGGCGCGTCACGCCTGATCAAATGATGCGGCAAGCGTGAGGCCGTGAACGCACCCAACGCACATGGAAATGAGTCCTAACGACCAATATGAGATTCGCGAAGAAAAAAAAAGACAGCATGTAAGATTAAGGAACTAGTGTGGGGGGAGGGGAACACTGGAACAGGGCCAGATGGAGAGCCATGAATTAGAGATGAAAGAGTATTTTTCTTTTTTGGGTGAGGTTCATGCATTGAGAAAACACTTATATGTGATGTGCAATGCTTGATGCTGTACTGATGCAAAATCAACTGTTGGGCCAAAATATTTGGCCCATTGCCTAGGCAGAGAGTGCCCGCTGGTCTTCTGTATTCCCATTGTCCAGACTCCGAAATTTCCCATGTAACTTTACAAAGAGACTTCTAGCAAAATATTTAACGCATACCAAGTTATTTATTTTTCATTGGCTCAAGTTAAAAAATATAGATGTGAATCATTACCCTAAACTTTTTTAATTGGATGAATGAAACATTTTGTTCAGTGCATATTTGAGCAGCAAAATAATTTTTTATAATTTTTTGGGACCAAAATAATTTGCATTGGCCTATTAAAAATTTGAGCGTAACTAGAAATTGAAATAGAAAGGAAATTTAAGTGCCTAGAAATCATTTTAATACTGTTACTTCTTGATTTTCCATGATTGCAGAGAACCTGTCAAACAAAGGTACATCTGTGTGAAGAGAGCAAGAAAGTTATAAAAGATTAATGTTAACATGAGGTATCAGTTTTGCCATGCAGACAAACGTTTAGATCAGGGTTTCTCAAATCTGGCCCACGAGAGCCACTTTCCTGCAAAGTTTAGCTCTAACCCTAATCAAACACACCTGAGCATACTAATCAATGTCTTCAGGATCATTAGAAAAATTGTTTGATCAGGGTTGGAGCTAAACTTCGCAGCGCATTGGCCCTTTAGGGCAAGATTTGAGGAACCCTGGTCTAGATGGAGCTTTTCCAAATTTATGCAATAAATTTTGGCACTGTTGAAAATAAATGCTGGTAGATCTCTCTCAAACGCTTGTTTTACAGTTTTTTTTATTTATTTAGACAACCCAAATAAAAGGCACATAAACATTGCGCATGTTTACATAATTATTTCTGACAAACTTACATTTAAAAAAAATGTAGGAATGTTTTTCTTTCTGCTACTCAGAAAGCCTAGTCTTCATATATACAAAATTACCATTGTTAATGTACTAATACAAAAGTTTTATAAAAGGTTATTTTGCTTTTCTTTGCTCACATTGTCTATCTGTACTCTAAGATCTTCTGAGCTAAACACTTCTGTACAAACATATACATTCAACCGCTTTCACAGGGGCGCCAAAAATCATCCAGTTCATCAACTGAATCAAAACATTAGACTCAATTCGAAAATGTTCACTTCATTGGATTTCATAATTGGTTTCAATTTGGCAAATAAAAGAGGCAATTGTAATGCATCCACCATGAAATGCATAAACGTGCATTCTCACTCTCCCACAAACTATACTATGGAAGCATGCTTTTGTTTGTTCTAGTGTGACGGGAGAATCAAATGCCTCACACATGCACACAAACACACACGGATCAGGGATTCATTGTGTCTGATCAGGAAAAAGCATCCCCTTCCTGAGACTCAGTGCTGGGGTGGACGGCATCCATTCAGACACTCCAGATCGTCACATCACAGGCTGTGGCGGGAAAACTACCCACAAAAAATTGCATACAAGTCAAATAATTAGTGTTTTCACTACAGCAGTCTCTTCTCTCTGGCATCTGCTCCATGCACAGGAAGCATGTAGAGGAAGTGGCCGACATAATGTACCTAAATTCTCTCACATTGGTGACAGAACTGTGTAGTGAGTGACAGCTCACTCTTCCTACTTATACGGTTGTGTTTTATTAACACAAAATTATTAAACTCTTTAGTCCACACAGACAAGCACACAGTGTTGAAATTTCCAGAGCCAGTCTGTAAACATTCTCCATTATTTCAGACTGAAGACGTGCTTTTATGTTAAATGGTGCTTCTGGGCTTTAGCTACAGGAAAATACTATCATCTACAGAGGCCTAACTACATAAAACAAAACAAACCTAAAACATAAACAAAAAAAAAAGAAAGAAAAACTAAAACAAACAGAAACATAAAACTTACAAAAACATAAACATGCAAAAAACAAACAAAAAAAGAAAATAAATAAAAAATAAAACCTTAAAAAAAAAAATCAAAGGGAAATATATTTACAAACAAACATGAATAATTCCAAGGCATTTTCCTGGAATTATTCATGTTCATTTCCTATTCTCAGCCCATTTCCTTTGTAGAACATGTTTTTAGAACAGGGATCTTGCAAACATCAAATAAAAATACAAAAAACAAGGCTATAAAATATTTTTAACAGGCAAAAGTCCAAATTAAAACTTTAAAGGGCATCAAAGCGGTACTCCAACCAATTGATGGCGCTGTTATAAATGAGCTGGTTACCTACAGCTCATAAACCCTGTTCCAAATGACACACTTGGCCCTTATGGTCCTCCTCTTTGTCCTCCTCACCAAAGTCCACACTTTGGTGAAAAAATGCTGCACAGACTGTAGAGTAGTAGTCTGCTGTGAAGTCCGCACCATTGTGCAAAGGGGGCACTCTTGAGCACCTTTCTCAATCGTTAAATGACAAATGGGATACTCTATGTCTTCATGGACTTTGTAGATCCGCACAAACAAAGGCCGTGGGATAGTAGCGACCACATCAAGTGCACCATTTGGAACACATCTTGATATTCATATTTAGTAGGGATGCACAAATACCACTTTTTTCAGAACGAGTCCGATACGATACTTCTATTTTTGGTACTTGCCGATACCGATACCTGTATTTTCACAGCATTTGAATTTTTTTTTAAATATTGGGTACAGAAACAAAATAATAATAATAATAATAATAATATGAATCATGTTAGTTGGCTTCATTTATCAAACAGATATTTCCTTCAGTTATTTACACAAAATTATACCTGTTAAAATGTATTGTATAAGCTTTTGTTACTTTCACTGTTCATTTTAATGGCGCATTAGAGCAGCTCAATACTGTAATCACAAGACGTTTTCCTAAAATAATGCAGGGAACCACTCGTTATACATTATACAAGTATGCGCGTACAAATTTGGTGATGTAATTTGCGTCACACGAACTGTAAGGATTAAAAAGTATACTTTGGCCTTTAAAGCAAGCTAAACATACGCAGTGCGCACACGTTTGTATTGGTGCAGAATGAGAGAGACACTTCAACTTGTGCATTGTTTTTCTTGCTTGCTTTTGACATATCCGACCGAACTACAAACTTTCAAGTGATGTCTGTCAAATATATTCACTCGACAAGCTCGCGCATCTGTGCCGCCATGCGTTCAATCCACTCAGCGAGTTCTGCTTATCAGCTCGCGCACATCCGCTATACAGGCGTGAATATTGAATGTTTAACATTATATTAATTACTTACATATACTTCATAGACATCCTTAATCTCTAATAACTCCATTCTACTCTCTGTTGTTGGTGTTTCTTTTTCTGGACACAGCTCTATTCACATGTTGTGTGGTATTGGCTTTTGGTATCGGGGCATTTTTATGAGTACGAGTACGAGTACAGGAGCGCAGTATTGGTATCGGTGCATCCCTAATATTTAGATAATACTGCCTCTTTAAATTAGGGATATGCTTTCAGTGCAAGACTCTCTTTCCTTCCTCCAAACGCTTTCTTCTGTATGCTAAAAAAACATGCGACAGCTAACAATGGTCACGTAAACAATAAGAGAATGAAGCTGCCCTCCCCTCATAAAAACTGAAAAGTAGTAAACCATGTCATGACGAACACCATTAATAAAAAAAAAAAAAATCTACGACACCTCTTCAGAGTCCCCACACACAAAAAAATGCACACACACACACTCACACCCCTGCGCAAAATCGAAATAACGCAAAAGATATTTTAAAAATCCTCCCTCCCAATGGAAGCAACAGTCCATTTCAAACGAATTTCCTTAAATACTGATTAGCAGGTTACACTTCAACATCATTGAAGAACCCACTGGCACTCTGCTTATTAAAAAAAGTGTTCGAAATGCACATCAATTATTGCATTTGTCCTTAAAAACGTCCGTCGTCGGGGTTTGAAGTGCTCAGAGGAGCTTGCGAAATGCCCCGCTACAGAGCTGCTCACCAGGTGCACAAAACGCAAACATACTCGAAGGCCAGAGAGAGTTGGAAATCCGTGCAAATCTTCTGCTAGTGTTGCAATGTAGCCACGCGGTGGGTTTGTTCGCGCCACTCAGATGTCAGAAGCACAGCAGTCAGGGCAAAAATGCTGGTCAGCGCCCCTGGTTCTACCAGTGAGAAGATGGCAAGACTTGGGACAGGAAGGGCATAGTGTCCATAGGTCTCATGGCAATGTTGAGCGGGCCGGCGATGTTCATGGGCATGGGCGTGGTGATGGCCACCGGATGGGCGATATTCATGGGCACTGTGGCTGGGATGTTGACGGATGCGATGTTCACAGGGCCGGTGATGGTAACTGGGTGCTGCAGGCTGACGGGAGACGTGATGTTGACTGTGTTGGTAGAGATGTTCATCTGGGCTGCTATTGTAACGGGGTTGCTGATGTTGCCACGGTTCATTGCAGTGGTGATTGGGGCTGTGGCCGAGACCGGTGTAGTGGAGGCAGAGTTGCAGACTTCAGTGTTGTCTGTAGAGCACAGAGAAAGAGACAGGAGAAGCGTTAGCGCTTGTGTTGGGGATTTGTGTGTATTCTGTTCCCAAACTCTCTGGGTGTCTAGACTCATGTGGCAAATGACCTATGTGAGCATTTGTGATTGAACTTCCTGTTATCAACAGCAGAGACAGAAGAGAGCAAACTGTTATTGTGTGTGTACATCGACTTTTCCACCTTTTTTGTTTCGTTTCATTTTTACCTTTTCGGAGCCCTGAGTGGTTCCACTGCCAATCTCCTATTTAGAAACAGACAGAGGGTTATGATGGGCAGGCAGCTGCCTGCAGTGATGCATTATGGGACTTTTAGGAATGCAGGGCTGCAGCATTTATGCACAGTGTGAATTCAGATATGACTATCGTGTTCAAATCTGAGAAATTTAAACTGAATGTGAATGTTTCAGGTTCAATACAGGTTAAGCTCTATCGACAGCACGTAGACGTTAGTACAGAAAAAATCTCATTCAACAGTTTGCAAAAATAAGCAAAAATTATTTGTCTATTATAAGGGCATTACTGTTAAAAATTCTTTGAATTCTGAGGTGCTATACAATATTACAGTATATAACAATACAACAATATAATACCGTATTGACCCGAATATAAGACGATGTTTTTTTCTTGGAAATACATCTGAAAAAACACGGTCGTCTTATATTCAGGGTCTAGGCTTTGACATGTCAATAATACACCCACAACAATAGGTGGCGCCAAATACGCATAAAACGAGTGTGCCATGAAATACGTAATGTAATGCACCAGTTTTTATCATACTTTCAAAACAAAAATTAAAATAGGAAAAATATGCAATATGAAAATAATTGAAGACAAAATGTGTTTTACTGAGAAAAAACAAGATTTGGTTTTTAAAAAGCCTTTTTCCAAAAGGTACATCTGGAAAAAGGGGGGTCGTCTTATAATCAGGGTCGTCTTATATTCGGGCCAATACGGTATAACAAATAATATTAGAATAATTTAATTTAAAAAAAAGAATAATTCAATTTGCACCCAATTATATATTTTTAACTGAGGCGAGAAACAAACAAAAAAAATAAAAATAAATATATTAGAATATAATAAATTAATATACATACAATTTCGATCACATTATATGATATTATACTATAGTATAAAAATACTTTAATATACTTTTAATATAAAAAAATTACAAAATAATATTCTGTGGTAATCAACAGCATGGTCACAGATTCTGTCGATAAAGAGAGAATTTGTCTTGAAACCAGAACATTCAGAGATTTTAGCTATTAAAATATACAATTCTACCAAATTCTAACACTCTATGAAAAAAAAGACTGAGTCAACAACAACAAAAAAATTTGCTAATCGTGATCAAGAAAAAAAAACAAAAACACTAAACTACATGACAGAGATAGATTATGGGATAGGGATCAATGGGTTAATTCATGAAAAAAAATCCATAAGAACATGTAATGGCACCTATCACTAAATGGCACAACAGCTCTGAGACAAACTGAGACCTCAGGCATGAATTTGAGCAAACTCTACCCATTAAATTCTAATTAAAGTAAACGACAGAACAAATTTGCAGAGTGCTGCTGACCTCTTTTCAATCCTTGCTGTAGACCTGCCCCTTGACCCACTCCTGACCCTGTCGTTCACATCCTTAGAAAGGATCCGGTTCAGTCAGAGCAGTTTCTGCCTGAAGCAAAGCACTGGTCTTCTCCACTGACATGCTTGACTAACTTAACTTAAATTTGAACAAATGAGTCAAATGCCATGACCAATGAAACGTGATGGACTGCACAACCAAACAACTCTCAAGAATCACGGTGAAACAATCCCAAACATAAATGGCACAGGACTTTGAATGAAAAAGAATCTTGGAAGCCATGTTCAAGTATCATTCTGAACAGAAATGCTCAAAAAATGGCTACAAATGGCCCTCATGTCTACTTTACAGAGACTTCACTCCCAAGATTCTTTGTGCTCCTTCAGATACCCATTTTTTTTCCATCTAAGAAACAGCAACTCTGCACTGGCTCCTAAAACCTGCTTTTGTCAAACCAAGAACCTGTAACATCATAGGCCAGGGACGGGATAATGTCCAAATCAAGTGAAATTTTCAGAATAACTTGTGATGTCATGAAAACACTGAATTAAATTATTGTAGATGTTAAAATATGTTCTGAAAAGTTGTAGGACTTAAGACCACAACAGAGTATCATTTATTGTAGGCAGATTACGTTGTCATTCTGGACGGTTCTTCAAGGGGGTTAAAAATCTCCCAACTGTGCTTGCAAAGTCACTTCTCAAACTAGTGCACTTGAGTGTATAGGAGAGTTTGGGAGTTGTAGGGACAGCAAAGAGCTCAGAGGAAAGGATGAACAGAGTGTTAGTAGAAAGATGTTGGAGCTAGAGCTACATGAGTCACCCAGAGAGGCTGGGAGAGTTGTTGAACAGACTACCGGCTGATTGGCTGGGGCAGCCAATCACGTTGCACTTACCTTTGTTACAGGCGTTGTTATAGTTGCTCTGGCCGTGTGTTTTTAAGTGGCTGGTGATGTAGGCGGCGCTCAGCATCTTTCCGCACACGTTACAAGTGACTTTCCCTTCGTGCCGAATCATATGCGACCGAAGTCTGTCTTTGGTGGCAAAGGCTGATGTACAGGCCTATAATGGACATGCAGAATTTCATCATTTACAGCACAAATTCAATCAGTTTTCTTTTAATTATCCAAATTGATGTAAGCTACGTTAAGGCTTCAATATTAACCCTTTATGGGGCTCGAACCTTTAGTTGCCAGCAACTAAACATGTAAAAAGTTGTGAGGCTCAACTGAATAAATCAGATAAATGGGTTCCTGTTCTTACCGTTACTTGGCATTTGAAAGGTCTCTCCGAGGAATGAACATGCTTCACATGGCAGCTGAGATGGTCAGGCCTGAAAAGAGAGGGAAAAATGAAAAACATGGCAAGAAGGAAAACAGCATCAAGTCTCTGTAACAAAGCCACTGGATTTTGGTACCAGCTGCATCGGTGTACACTTCACAAAAACAAAACCAGCAGGCTCAGGTGCTGTACTTTGCGAGTCAGCCTCTGAGCTGCAGATTCATCAGCTGCCGTGAGCTAGAAAGCATGCTAGCAGATGTGGCATACAGAAAAAATTCACTGTTCACAGCTGCTAACAGAACAAACTGATGCTGCTCACACACTGGAGGTTTTGATGTGAACATGAAGGTCTTTGCACACCGAGTTCGAAATTTTTGCACGTTAAAAAATAAATACGACCTCACGTTGTGTCAATCACGTTTACACACCACCTCCGAAACGTTTGTAAGTCATAAAAAAATTCGGATCAGGTTCGATTTTCTGTGTTTTCGCATTTTGATAGGAAAGGATGACGAATACGAAAAAAAAAACGCATACGAAAATTTCTGACTCAGTGTGCAATGACCTTAAGTTTGATTGCCTATACTGTTTGGTTTTATTGTTTAGTAAGAAAGCTTGAGGTGCACAAAGCTGGTGTAATGATGCTGAAAATTCAGCTTTACTATATACAGGAATAGATTACATTTGAATATATATACAAATGGCTATTTTAAATTGTAATATTTCAGAATAGTACACTTTTACTGAATTTTTGATCAAATAAAAAAGAAAAAAAATGAAATGAAATTAACTTGATTAATATTTCAGCTTCATTATTTTCATTTAGTTTCACTTGATGTACTAAAATAACTAAAACTGAAATAAACATAATATAGACATTAAAAAAACAACAATCAATTAAAATTGAAGTAAAAAATGAAAATATATAAATAAAAGCCAATTCAAACCAATAATAATAACTATATTAGTCAAGCAGTATCTATCAATCAAATAATATAATAATTTCAAGTTGTATCTCTTTTAGTAGCTCAAAGACACCAAAATAAGATTCTAACTATCAGATTTAAACTTTTGCTACCTTACAACTTCTTCTTCAATCTTACAACAATCTGGAACAAAATATCAGTGAAAGCAAATGAACAGGGGCATTTGGAGGAGAATAATTTAATTCAGGTTTGAAAACTGCACTAAATACGAACGTGACACGACCTGCCGGAGGAGACTGGGACATTTTGTTTTCAGGTGGTGTTCTCAGAAACAGCCAGAGCTCTAAAAACAGCCCCTTTTATCTCTGCGCTTTGACTTGTGTCAGTGCGTGATTAATAATCCCAGGATTCATTTCAGGGATTGCGAGGCCTCTCCGATGCTTTCCCGGATATTCTGGGACGTTATAGACGAGCTATAGACGAGACTCCTAAAGCAGCCGTATGTCTGCGGCCCCTGAGTGACTCAAAGGAAACCCCAGCGCTGATCCTCTAAGACAGAACAAACAGGAGGGAAGGAGGGAATAACAGAGGAATAAGAGCAACCCCTCCTCCTTCTGTTCACGCAGACCCTCGGCATGCTGGGCCCTACAAAGGCAGCCAGTCAGATCCATTCACAACAACTATAAATCAGCCAGCAGCAGCCAATAGGAACGAGGCGACATTAACATCATCAGAACAGCAGATGGTGGATTCAGCTCGAGCTTTGAACACATATTTCAACAGACATCATCAGAATCCACAAACAGCCTCATTTCATGCAGGATGGAAATGACTCACATTCGCCATTAACGTATACGAAGCGAAGATATATAGTTATTTGTACGGATTTATATTAAGAACTGGTTCTTATTCAGAATCAACATTAAATCATTTTTAAATGATTAACCAACATTAAATCAATCAATTAACAATTATACCAAGCTACCAAATCTACAGTGCAAAATTATGCCTTTTAGATCCGAGTTTGTAGGCTAATTATCAGAAACATAAAACGTTTTTATTGGAAAGTTACAATGTGACCATTGCAGCCCAATATGCAAACAAATTACTTAATTAATGAACCAGTTCTTTTAAATTAATCAGTAAAAAGACTGAACAGTTTATGGTTTGAATCATTTTGAGCAAAAAGAAAAATCTTGTACTGTACTCGAAACTTGTGATAGTTCAGTTAATTCTTGTTTAATTCAGTTTAATTACTGTTTTTAAAACCTACTGATTTCTTTTTTTTAAACAACTTTATAAATGTTGTAATAAATGACAATTAATAACATAAATAATAAAAACTAAATACACTACTGGGCAAATGTATGTGGTCGGTAAGAGATTGTTATGTTCTTGAAAGAAACCTCTTATGTTTATTTTGGCTCCATTTATTATCAAAAACAGTAATAACTGTAATGTTTTGAAAAATTATTACAATTCAACATTTTTCTTTTCAATTTATTTTTAAATGTAATTTATTTCTGTGATGGCAAACCTGAAATTTCAGCAGCAATTACTCCAGTCTTCAGTGTCACATGATCCTTCAGCAATTATTCTAATATGCTGATTTACTGAAACATTTCTTATTACAATCAATGTTGAAAACAGCTGTGTTGCATAATATTTTTTTGGAAATAGTAATAATTATTTTGAAAGATTCTTAGATGACTAGAAAGTTCAAAAGAACAGCAATTATTTAAATAAATATATATATATTTTTAAATTAAGAATTTACTTTACTTTTGAAGTATTAATTTAGTTAATTATAAAAAACTCACTGACCCCAAACATATTGTATGTTGTCAAAAAAGGGAAGAGGCTCCTCAAAAATACTTTAGGAATCATTAAAGAACCAGAATTGTTCACTAGAATCTGAACCAGAATCATTAAATTCCTTATAATTCATAACTTCGAAACCAAACACACTGATTAAATTTAAGCAAGTGAAAAAGCTCCACATACCTCGAGAATCCCTTTCCGCACACAGAACAGACGTAGGGTTTGTGGACGCCTCCATCGTGTGAGCGCACGTGGTACGTCATTCGATCTTTCCTCTTAAAGCGCTGTTGGCATATAGGACACTCGAATGGTTTTTCATCCGAGTGTGACAGCTTGTGCCGGTTCAGATGGTAAACGTCCCGGAAGGCTTTCCCGCACATTTCACAGCCGTGGTTCTTCTTTACGGGCTTGGGTGGCTTTTTGGGGGCACTGTGTTGGGTCACGTTGGACATGGACATCGGGGACATGACAGTAGAGGCGGAGGACGTGGAAGTGGTCGCCGTGGAAAAGATGCCAGCAATGGTTGAGATGTAGGCAGGGTTGCCCGTGGTCTCACGAGGCATGGTGGAGATGAGCGGAACCATGGTGGGTGCCGCTTGCGCCGTCTTTTTGGGTCTGGACACCATTTTGATGCCGGTGTGGCAGGACTCGTGCCGGCGGAGGTGGTAGCTGTCGCGGAAGGCCTTGTTGCAGTAGCCGCAGATGAATGGTGTCTTGCTCTTGTGCTCTTTCTTGACCACGGGCATTGGACCACCTCCTCCGGCATTGCCACCCCCTCCTCCCCCTGTCCCGCTGGCTACGTTGTCCTTGAGGAGCTCGGCGGCGCTGACGGGGGGCTTGTGGTCCAGAGGAATGGGCATCACAGGCTTCTGGTCCTCTGGCTCAGAGTTCAGCAGTGGCAGCAGGCTGCTTGGGGCCACATGGTGCTGGTGGTGAAGGGCTTCATTAGCCTGCTGGAAGGAGAAGACAGAACCGGACAGGAGGGTTAAAAACGGTGATGCGCTGACCAAAAAAACAAAAAAAAACAATATTATATTGTCAATATATTGACAAATATTATGGCTGATAGAAATGTGCTAGAGAGAGAAATTCTGCACTTAATAATTACAAATAATAAATAATAGAATAAAATACCACATAATGAGACAGAAAGAGACACATTTTTTAAAATAAAAAAACAAGTATATCAGAATAATAAAATAAAAAAACAAATAACAATAATAAAAAATGAAATAAATTAAATGAAAATAATAGCATGAAATAATAAAAATGGAATACTAAATAAAAGAAATAGAATAATGAGATAATAACTAAATTAATTAATTCCCAAAAATAAATCATTTTAAAACTGTTATCTGTTTAAACTTTAAACACACACACACACACACAGTAGAGTCATGTATGGCAACACCCCCAAAAATAAGTTCAGAGAAATATTATAAATCCAAAACGGTTTTATTTGTTTACCACAGGTTTAAGTATTTATGATATACCTAAAGATTTTTAACATGCTTTAAGTGAAATCAGACATCTAAACACTGTATCTTACAGTACAAAAGATGGATAACTTTTATACTTATGTAACCTGGCTGTAATTAGAAAAATTAGAAAAATAACTTAATATATGTAGTAAATAATAATGATAATAATAATCATATATATGACCCTTGACCACAAAACCAGTCATAAGGGTCAATTTGTTTCTATGAGATTTATACATTATCTAAAAGCTGAATAAATAAGCTTTCCATTAATGTATGGTTTGTTAATATATTACACTATTTGGCCGAGATACAATTATTTGAAAATCTGGAATCTGAGGGTGCAAAAAAAATCTAAACATTGAGAAAATCTCCTTTAAAGTTGTCCAAATGATGTCCTTAGCAACACATATTACTAATCAAGAATTACGTTTGAATATATTTACGGTAAGAAATTTACAAAATATCTTCATGGAACATGATCTTCTTTACATAATATCCTAATGATTTTTGGCATAAAAGAAAAATCGATAATTTTGACCCATACAATGTATTGTTGGCTATTGCTGCAAATATACCTGTGCTACTTATGACTGGTTTTGTGGTCCAGGATCACATATAATAGAACAGAATTAAAAATACTAGAATATATATGCACACATTAGACTTGTGCTGGTATTCGGTAATGCGATATATCACGGTAATGAATATGCACGATATAAACCTGTTATACTGTATTATGACAGCACTTTTTTTAAAAACTTAATTTCAATATCGTGATAATACCGTATACCGCAATAAAAGCATTAGCAATTAATCGCAACATGAAAATTTGATACCGGCATATCCCTAGCACACATAAGCACATATTTGCTTTTGCACAGATATACTGGATTTTACTTTTATTTTACTTTTCCTCAGGTAAAAAAAACCTCTGCGTTTTAACTCTGGGGCTCCAGTAAGTTTGAACAGAGATGAAAAACTCTGATCTCACTGATGTAGATGATAAAGTCCATCATGCACAGATTTGCTGTGTGTGTGTGTGTTCCCATCAGCACTTCAGGCAGCCTGCGGGGTGACTAACGATGAGCAGAAGTTCAGGAATGAACACACACGCTCACGTTACATACATACAAACACACACTGGACTCGACAGCTGGCAGGAGGAAGAGGCACTCCATTGAGAAACTTCTCATTAAATCAAATGAGTCAAGTTTCCCCTCTTCAACCACAGAAATGCATGCTGGGCTAATGACTGGATTCAGAAATCCTGATTCAGAATGATTCACAGTGTTATCAAAAGTGTCATCTGGGCCCCAAACTAATGACACAGATTACGCTGCAGTCGTGATAGAGCACATGATGGCATGAAGGCTGGGTACAGGGCAGAGGCTGTGCGCTCTGATTAACTGAACTCAAAAACAACCCCGGGCCGCTGAGGAATCTAAATCTGTCCGGCGTAAACCGATCTGCAGAGATGCTCCCGGTTCTTCATGTGACTGCAAAATTAACTGTAACACAAGTGAGATGATTCAGCGGGTCAGGAACAAACTCAGCTAAACCTGTGTGTGAACGAGATGACAAGGACTTTACAGAGAAAACGAGAGAGTTGTGGCATTTACACTACAGATAGTTGCGTTTGATGGACAGGATTATTAAAGATTTATATTTTGAATTTGATAAGCAATTATATATTGGCTCTTATGAGATATCAAACTACATTTTGCACAGCTGAAGGTCCAGATCTCTTCTGTATTAAATGCATTCAGTAAGGATGCATTAAATTGATAAAGTGACAGCAAAGACATTTATAATGTTATGAAAGATTCTATTTCAAATAAATGTTGTTCTTTTGAACTTTTTATTCATCAAAGAATCATGAAATGTATCATGGTTTTAACAAAAATATTAAGCAGCAAAACTGTTTTCAATATTGTTTATTTATAAGAAACGTTTCTGGGGCACCAAATCAGCATATTAGAATGATTTATTAACGACACTGAAGACTGGAGTAATGTTGGCTGAAAATTCAGCTTTACTACATTTTATTAAAATAGAAAACAGTTAGTTTAAATTGTAAAAATATTTCACAATATTACTGTTTTTACTGTCCTTTTAATAAACTAAATTAGGGAAAATTTCGACCGATAACGATAACCGATAATTCAAAAAAGCCAATAACTGATATGTTGGCCGATAAATCTAAATCCAAATTTTTTTTAATCATTTTTGAGAGCCTGATTACAAAGTCTCACCATTAAAACAAACAGAAAAATGTACATTTAGTGGCCGATATATTGTGCATCCCTAAATGCAAAAACATTACGTTTTTTCACCAGCCTCAAACTTCTGAATGGTAATGTACAATTATATATAAATGGATAAATAGAAAACATGTCTTTCACAAATACAATTGATTTTTAAAGTCTACATCTGTGTGAGCCGGATGTTGCCACAGCAGTTAAAATGCATGATGCAATTTTATGATGTGGTTTTGTGACACAATACTGACGTACTGTCCTACTACAACTCTAAAAGTGTATACTTTCCCATTATGAGTGAATTATTTACTTTCAGAGCATAGAAGTATGCGAATTGGGATGCAGCCAACTTGAACACACAGTGAAACCCACCTCGCAGGCCTGGAAACAGAGGTGGATGTTTGTTTGTTTGTTTACTGAGGCTTCTGGGAGGCTGGACGCACTCCTTTAGTTCTCCCTTACACACAGAGCAGCGTGAGGGATTTGTTTACACAGCCAGGGGCAAAACTCACAGACACTCACTGCTAACCTACATCACAGCCACCTGCCCTGGCAGACACTGATCTCTGAGCCACAACAACAGGACAAACCAGAGGGAAAACAATATACAACGATCACAAACACATCAATTGTGAACAATATGTACGAAAGTTAAATTCAATGCATCTATGAACTGTCTTAACGAAACGGTTCACCATAATGAATCAGACTTCTCAACTACCACAGCCTGAGGCGCTTAAAAGACCCGATAAAGTGCGGCAAACGCCCTGTTCACCCACTATTGATGTTCAATGGAGCATCTAAAACAGGCACAGCCCCCACAAACCACAGAAACAGCCCCAAACCAGCTTGGTTTAAAAAAAAAAAAAAAAAAAAAATTCCCCCAAAACC